ACCTGCGTTATCTTCTAACAGATGTGCCGCCCCAGCCAAACTCCCCACCTGACAATGTCTTTCGCTTGGATCGGACAGGCCACGAGGGCCTGCACTTTGGATCGAGAAGCAGGGGCAGAGCCCCGGCTCCACCTCACGAAATAAGTAAAATAACGTTAAAAGTAGTGGTATTTCACTTGCGCCGTAAGGCTCCCACTCATTCTACACCTCTCAAGTCATTTCACAAAGTCGAACTAGAGTCAAGCTCAACAGGGCCCGATAGAGGAATTTCGCCAGCATCCCGAACACGTAGGAACCCGAACGGGCCCGCCGAAAGAGGCGCGTGCTCTAGGTCCTTGACTGCCGTGACGGCCACCCTTGGGGGGTTTCAATCGCTCCCCACCGCAATGCCGGTCACAGCAGCCCATGCTGGCAGGCACCCCACGTCCAACAAGGGGGCCGACAACATAGTCGCCGTCCACCCCTGCCCAGACGGGAGCGCACGACTTCCCGTCCATCCGCTTCTCGCTCGGCAATTTCAAGCACTCTTTATCTTTGTCCCTAGCGTTGTGCATTGGGGGATAGTCTACAGAAATGTGGCAATAGGGGAGACGTTTCTAGATGGGGTAAGGGAGTTGGTATACGACGAGGAGGACGACTTCACTAATGAAGACGAAGATGAAGAGATAGAGGAGTGGGACTTCTGAGAGGGGTGGGGAAACTTAACTTAGGACAGACGGGTGGCCTGGTATTGTGCAAGAAAGGGAAAGATGACTAGAGAAGAAAGGATGATGGAATACCCCTTCAAAGGCTGGGAACCACGGCGACTCAGAGGAGGAATAAAAATGCCTATACCAACAGGAAATGGATGGAAAGGAACCACGCGCGACTGGATTGGGTTTGAGGTTGCCCGGGACTTGTGATATGTATGGATAGAACGGATTTGGAACCCGATAAGGGAAGAGGAAGGTTGGGATGATACAGCAGAAGGCAAGGTAGAGTTAGTTGGAACGACTGTCCTTTCCGAGGATGGATGACACCTGTTTTGCACCATGTTAGCAATGGGACAGGACCCGATGTGGCTTCCAGGGGATGCAGAGGCCCGAACCCGAACGGAAGGCAAGCTGTTCGCCAACGAGGGATGGGATGAAGTTAGTAGCAGAGTTGTGATGGGAGGATGAAACGAACTTAAGCCTCCAAGTCTACGGATAATGACTTGGGTACCGGAATTGATAGCCGAGTGGTTTGGGGGGGTTGAGCACATTTTAGAAGTAGCCGACTCCATGAGAAAGGTGCATATAGAGTGTGCCTGGTTGACTGAGGAGTTCTATAGGCTCTCAATGAAATATGGGCCCTTCTACGAAGATAAAGTTGAGGAAGTCATCATCGTCCTAAGAATAGGCAGATATGACCGCCTAGAGGTAGAGGCGGAGTATTGGGACGCCATAGTTAGCCGGGAGGCGGCGGCTGCACCCTCCTACGTAGACGACGTCTTTAAACTATTTGAGGTACTGTGGTTCGACTGAATGAGGCCGAGGGATCGAACACCGCGAAAAGGCCTGAGTATGGAGGGTGTTTGTGAAGTGAGGTGTAATATAAGAAAGGGAGTGTGTACATTAGGCCGTAGATGGTGCATAAGGATCGAAACAAGGGGGAAGTGACAGCAACTGGAAAATGGGAGGGGGGTGTAGAATTGAATGTGTATGAGTCGTGGATAGCGGCAAGAACCAGTGTACGATAAGTAGGGAGGGTTGAAAGACTAAAACTCGAAAGGCCTGGAATCTCGGTGGGTGCAGCAATCGGACTAAGAAAGCCGGAAAGGAGACATTGCGAGATGGCCCGACGAATGACGTTCTGGGAGGATAGACCTCATGGGATCCTGCCACCAAGAATATCAGAGGGCAGGGTTTAAATAAGCCTGCCGGCAAGAAGTACGGTAAGCAATCCGGTAATGGACTGGGTGGGGGTAGAGTTGGTGGAAGATACGGTGTACCTAGTAGTAAAGCTGGAATGGCGGGCGAGAGGGGAGTTCGGGGGCGTTGACTTAAACCGCCCAGGGCGTCTACATGCGACAGGATCCTTATACCTGTCGGAAGAGGGATGGCGGACCTTTGGGATTGCTTTGGCTTTCGGGGATGACTCCGTGCGAATGTTCGAAGGGGCATGGCAAATAACCTGGCGGTAGGGGTTTGAGTTTGCAGACCCGGAACGAGATGACGTAACGGCGGAGGTAAAAGTCGCCGCGGTGGGGGTTTTCGAGCTGCCAAATGAGGTCGTGCGGATGAGTCTACCACCCTTCCTGCTAAGACAAATGGGAGGCATAGAACGAGTGGAGCAGGCGGTGACTGTCGTAACTAGGCTAAATTTTGACAAAGCATTAATGTATCGAGAATACCATCGGGCCTTTCTAGAGATGGGGCCTTTCGGGTACGAACAAGGGCGCAAGATGCTCTGCATTCTACGAGTTGCGGTAAATACTAGGCCAGGAGTCCCACAGATAAGCGATGAGACCATGTGGAGAGTCATCCGGCGAGAGGTAGATCGGGGCGCGACCTACATAGATGATCTCTACTGGCTGTACGAACAGCAAGAGGAGGCTACTGCTCCCAGGGGTATAGAGGGATAGTTGGGACTAGAAAAGAGAAATGAAAACACGAAGGGCAAGGGAGACAGTAGCTGGGCAGATTCTGAAGATTGGCTGTAACCCTTTCTATGTGGACTATGCAGGAAATCACCAAGGTAACAATGGCAGCAAGACGTGAGCAGTGGAACGCCAGCCCCGTGTGCGAATGGAACGCCAGCCCCGGTACCCCGGACCGCCCTGGAACAACGGTGGACGATGGGAAGTATCCCTCCCGTCGAGTTCTACCTATCAGGGGTTCGACACAGAATGGCGGGCCGTGACTTTGGGAAGGGGCGCCGCCTTCATGTTAGTAGAATGTCGGTGGACAGGGATGAGACTCAACCGAGGACCCGGACACGATCTGTTCTCCAATCTGGAGGTTACCGGGATCATGTATCTGCCTGAGATCGGCTGGCATTCGTTGGGGGTAGAGATAGCACAAGGTCACGTGCTGACACCAGTCTTTCAAAGGGTCGCCCGGACGTTGACCCGGATAGGACATTCGGTCAGGGGGAGAAGGAATGTGGGCTTGCTAACCCGGGTGGAAATGGAAGGTTGGAGGGAGTTCAGGGCATTGACCACACCGCTGAGATGCCGAGTGCCCCGTTTTATGATAGACCTCGTCTTCGGAAGCCTCGCAAGGGCGTGGGAGCTGGCAGACTCAGCGATAGTCTGGGCAGGCCACTTTCCCTCCCCTACCATTGGGATGTTCTACAATGTTGCTGTGGAGCATGGACCGTTCTGGGGAAACAGGGCCGTTCTGGGGAAACAGGGCCCACGAATTGCTAGAAGTCATCCATATCCTGATGTTTTGTGCACCCCGACTAGACTGGACAGGGTGCAAACTCATAATCCAAAGGAAAATCGAGATAGGGGAGAATTATCTAACCGGGGTGGCTCAACTATTCGAGGAGCCTACCGAGCAAGAAGAGCCGCGAGGGTGAGAGTGGGATTAGCATCCGCAGGCGGGTCAATAGGGCAGATCGAGTATAGTTCGCTGCGTACGGAAGTTTGCCGATGGGAATAAGAAAGGGGCATCGGACCTGGATGGTTAAAACCCACTAGAAAAACAAAGAAGGGGGGGGCAGACTCCTAATGATTGACCATAACCCTGAAGGTGAAAAACGGGAAACGCTACTCAGGAAGACTTCCCCTAGCAGGATGCCTAACCCGGACTCCCTCGCGTCGGCCGACGGGACAAGGGCACTACAAACGAGCTTGTGATAAAGGAAGCCTAGTCACGTTCATAGCTCGGCTGGGCGGCAGGGCCAGTCGTGGCTCCTCCTTAAGGAAGGGCAATCAGGAAACGGGGATAGGAAAGGAGACTATAAAGATAAGCCAACAGAGTTGGGAGCCTAGGGAACCTGAAAACCGCGCATTGCGTGTGTCCTGGGAATTCTTTGGCTTATGCAGAACTAGGCAAAATGACAACGGAGGAGGAGACAGATAACCGTAAGAGTGAAGGAGAACCAGGCTTAGAAGGCAGTGCCACACAAAGTGAAGGCGGACAGAAGGACAGAGAATCGATAAATCTGAATGGTACCAAAGGGAACCGGAAGGAAATCTCCACAGGAGAAAGCTCGGGGAAAGCCGGGGGAAGCAGGCAAGGAACCCAGGGGACCAAGGAAGGCAGAAATAAGGATAGGACAACCCCCCGAAACTCGGAAGGAGCCATGCCTAAGAAAGTAAGGGTCACGAACACGAGGCGCAAACTAGCCGAGATAGACAAGAGGACCGCGGAATACAAGGCAAGACTGATTGAGGAAATGATGACTGGGAACGAAGAAGGCCCTCTGCAGGAGGAACCCCGGGACGAACGGAAAACCAGCCAAGGTGGGACTGGACAAGGGGATAAAGGTAGTGACCGTGGGGGAACGTCGAGCAAGAGAAGGAAAGAGAGAGAGAACTCTCCGGGGGTGGAAGCAGAAAAGGCTACGACTCCGCTAGTCATGGACAGTAGGGCTGGCCGCCTGCCGATCACGCCAGCAGTAGCGCGAGGATGCGAAGGACTTTGGAGCCTTAGGGAAAGAGTGTTGGGATGGTTTGACCCGGAAGGAACTATGAAAACCAGGGAGGGACAGAAGGCCGGCAAGGAAAGTCCGGATAACAGTGTGGCAGGCGAGGCCAGCAACTCCGAGGGCGGCCTTAAGAAGATAGTGTCGTCCCTCGCGTGGGCAGTAAACAAAAATCAAGGCTATCTGGCAAGTTCCTGATCAACTACGAGAACCTAGATGCGTTACTAAAATGGACCGAGGAGGAAAATATGGACCATCTAGGACAACATGTATCGTTAAGCCTAGGACGGGACATAATGGCCATTGTAGCCGCAAACCGGTCTTGGAAGGAGACCCGGGATGTGATGATGAGGAAGTACCTAGCGGCAGAGAAAATGGCAACGGAGGCTGACCTAGCGGCAGTTCAGAGGAGGAACTTCGCAACGTACAATGATTTCCTACGGGAATTTACTCTGGTAGCACAAAGGATCCCCGGGGTCACGGACCGGATAATGAGCAAATATTTCCTCAGGCAGTTCTCCGAGTTCGATAAAGACAAGATCCTGTCATCTTACCAATAGACGAGCAAGTTCGTAAACACGCGGGATGTTGATTTTAGCACGGTAACGGATTTGGCTGAGAAAACGGTAGTAATGGAGACGTTGGTCTTGCTCAAGGAAGGAGAGATCATAAATCTGACCGGTAGGATGAGCGGCAAGGTAAAGAAGGGGATCGAAAGTCTACATGAACGGGTGCACGGGGTCGACAATAAGATTGAAAGGATGGAAGGCGCACTACTGGTTTTGCAAGCGCAAGTATCCCGACCTGCCCTCCCTCCCCAGGAAGCTGTGGTTTCGCCAGGTGTAGCAAACCGGGGATTCGGACGGAGAGATCCTGCTAACGAGCAATGCAAGTACTGCATCGCGATAGGACATTATGTGTGCGCGTGCCTAAAGCTCAACCATGATATAGTGAAAAGAAGGTGTACCAGGTCATTAAAGGGGGAGATATTTGGACCACAAAGGAAACGGGTGAACTGGAACTCACCAGGAGGGATGCGACGAGCCATTATCATGCTCAACGGGCTAGAAATAACAGCCGTAGAAGCCGAACCGGTGGGCGAGATCATCTGGGATCAGCTCCGGGGGCGCGGGCCGCAGGCCAACTTTATTTTGGAAAGCGACGAACGTGATAGGGTGAACGCAACCACTCGACTGAGAACGACCGGGAAAAGGATTAACCGTGACACCATTATGGAGGAGGTCGCCGGAAGCTCCAAACCCCAGGCGGAGCCTAAGGCCGAGGAACCAAAAAAAGAATACGGGAAGCCTAGGGAGGAGGAGCCTGCGGACAAGGTTACCGCCGCTAAGAATAAGTTTAGGTATCAAATCTCGATCTTTACCTTGCCTGAGCTCGACGACACCATTAGCAAGTTACTAGGAACCATGGTGTCGGTGTCTTTTGAGACCATGCTCCAGGCTAGCCCTAGGTTGCTCAAAGGGCTCAGACAACTGTTGACGCGGAGGCGAGTAGAAATAGGCGACAACCCCGAATTACCAGAAGGGGAGAGCGAGGAGGAAGCTCCACAAGAAGTGGCTAACCTTCAGAGGAGTTACGGGGACTTGGAGGATCTCAAAAAGGCCTTTGTAGACATTCGTTTGAGCTTGCCCGACCGAGAAGGCGGCGAAGTCATGAGATCGCCACCCGGGACGAAGCTTAGCTTTCATGCGCTGCCCGTAGGGAAATTGAAAATCCAGATCGGGAGTCATTATACAGACGCATTAGTAGACGGGAGAACAGGAAATCACTCTCATAAGGAGAGATTTCGCAACGATCACGGGATGTATGGTAAACAAGGAAGTAACGGGGAGCATCCGGGGAGCTGGCGGGGAAATCCCGTTCGCTGGGTACGTCACGAAGTGTGCTGTGAAGGCAGGGGTCAGGGAATCGATTTGGTCGTTTCAGCGGATGTCCGTAATGGAGGAAATGGACCACGACGTAATCCTCGGGAGACCGTGGTGCGTGAACGTGGAGATGATAGGCATGCACTTGCACGATGGCTCATACATGGTAGACATAGAGGATCCTGTGACCGGCCGATGGGAGCTCCTCCTACTCCTTGGAACGGGAGGAGACCCCCCGAAGGGGAAATTGGCAACATGGTCGCCGTCGTTCGAGGATAGCACGCGAAAAGGGGCTTTCGCACGGATGGAGGGTATGAGAGAAAGGGTAGAAATCATGATTGAGGAAGCATTCAACAAGAAGGAGTGGATCAAGATGGGTCTGCCCCAGAAGAAGAGGAGGCAGGAGGACGAAGTCCTAGGTGATATGGTAGCGGAAAAGGAGTCAGAGGTCGAACTTGGTGCTAGCTTGCCCAAACGGAAGGAAGTACGCATAGACGTGCCGGAAAGCGCACTCGAGATCCCCGATCTATTGCAACTCATTAAGGCCCTCAGATACCACAAGGTAGGAGTGGATTCGGCAGCCTTGGCCAAGTTCGAAAGAGAGGTGCAAAAGGGATATTGCCTGAATGGGAAACTGGTTAGTATTGAACCACGAGTCGTAGAGGCGACGGGGGCAATTCCGACTGTTCATTTTTTAGGAGAAAGATCCCGGAAGGAAGTGTTTGAAAGTACAAGCCAGTAGGGAAGAAAGCAAAACCGGTCTCGATTCTGCTAGAGACATCAAAGGAAGAGTCTATGGAGAAGGAGGAAGAGGTCCTTCGAGTGATCCGAGAAAGAAGGGCGACTGAGGAACATCAGATACCAGATGAGGTAGCGGACACAATGAAGTTAGGGATAGACGGGTTCCTAACGGAAGAAGAAACCCGCCTGATCAAAAGGACCTGCCAGGAGTTTCACCTGACATTTGCCTTTAGTGATCACCAGAAGGGACGACTGGATGCGAAGTTGATCCCGCCGGTCAGAATCCACACGGTAGAACATAAGTGCTGGAATGACAAGGGATCATCCTATGAATTTGGGATAGCAGGAGAAGTAACAGACCTCCTCCGAGCGAAGATGAACTCCTTCGTTGCGGAGCCTACGGCATCGCCATACGCAAATCAGTGGTTCGTCTTTCGGAAGCTTAACAAGACACTAAGGTGGATTCGGGACCTGCAGAAGTTGAATGCGGTAACCATCCGGGATGCTGGCTCGCTACCTCAAGCTGACTTATTAGCAGAATCGCACGCCGGTCGGAGCATTTACTCCCTGATAGATCTGTACTCAGGGTACGACCAACTTCCATTGGAGGTTCGGGACAGGCCACACACCGCTATGCACACCCCCGTAGGCCAGCTACAGATGCAAGTGATACCTATGGGATTCACAAACGCGCTGGCCGAAGCGCAACGCAAGATGCTCGCCGTGGCCGGGGACATGTTCCGAGAAAAATGTGAACCTTACATCGATGACAATCCGATCAAAGGTGCGCAGGAAAAGGACGAGACGAAAATCCAGCCGGGTATCCGACGTTTTGTGTGGGACCACCTACAGGACATTAATGACTTACTCCACCGATTCCTAGTACACAACATTACAGCTAGTGGACCAAAGAGTATCCTAGCAGTACCAGAGGTAACTATACTAGGATTTCGTTGCGGTGCTCACGGCAGGAAGTCGGATCCGGCAAAGACCGACAAGATATCACAGTGGCCGACACCACTGTGCACGGCGACGTAGGTAAGGGCATTCCTAGGCGTAGTCGGCTTTTGGAGGATCTTCATTAAGAACTTTGCCAAAATTGTTGAGCCTATCCGGACTATGATCAGGGAAGAAGGAACCATGGATTGGACAGAGGAGCGAGAAGGAGCTGTCCAAACGCTCAAGGACATATTGACATCTGAGACAGTCGCCCTGTCCGCGCCTTGTTTTAATTACGAAGTGGGACGACCCTTCATCCTAGAGACGGATGGAGGACCTTTGGTCGTAGGAGGTGTGTTGATTCAAAGGGATGAGGGAGGAAAAGAGAGACCGATTAGGTTCGAAAGTAGAACCCTGAACTCCGCAGAACGGCGGTACTCGCAATTCAAGATGGAAGTCCTAGCCATCCTGCATTGCCTTAAGACCTTCCAGGCCTACCTATTTGGGAGGTGGTTCATCTTAAGGATCGATCCGACGAATGTCGCAGAGGCTCTAAAGAATTACAAGCCTATAGATCTGACGGTAGGGAGATGGGTAGGATTCATCTGGCAGTTCGATTACAAGATCGAACGGATTGCTAGAATCCGCAACAAGGCAGATGGGTTGAGTCGGGTTTGCATCACTCTCGAAGGGATGGAGGATGCAGAACCCATAGACGCATTCCTCGAATACGAAGGAGAGACTCTCACGGTGGATAACAAAATGATGAGCGGGGAATGCACATCGGGAGAACTATTGAACCAGACTTTGGAGAAGGGGGTACCTGCCGTAGTAGCAGAAGTTAGAGAAGGACCAGTTACCACTCGAGGACGCAGAGAAGAAAAGGACTCATGGGGAGCGAGAGTAGGACCGAAAGAGGAACTAATGGCAATGGCGGTCGAGGGAGGCCGGGAAGCAGTGATGAGGTTAGTGGAATCTTGGGAAAGGAAAAAGTTACAATGGATGGTAAACCAGATGCAGGAAGGAAAGGATGGGGAAATGAAAGGAGATGAGTTTTTCTATGTCCAATCATACGAAGGGCTCTTTCGGAAGATCGGGCTCTTATTGGTAGGAAACAAACAACCTACGGAAGTCCGTATTAAAGCAAGAGAAGAAACCGAAAGGTACGTCCTAAGGGGAGGGCATTTGTTCCGAAGGGAGGTAGGTGCTATGCCCAGAAGGGTTGTGTGCGGGAGATCTAGGCAAGTAGATGTTATGCAGGCAATGCACGATGGGTTGGCTGGAGGTCATCGATCGTCCAAAGGAACACTTGCAAAGATAACGGCACTCTATTATTGGTCAGGCATGGTCGCCATATATTGCTAGACTTGCCTTATTTGCCAAGAACGAAGCCCGGTGCGGGTCTTCGAGCCGCTTAGACCAACGCGGGTGCTAGGGTCGGGACATCTGGTCCACCTCGACCTTGCAGTCATGCCTGTATTAACGGATGGGTACAGGTATATCCTGGATGCGCGAGACAACCTGAGCGTGTTCGTGGAGGCAGTCGCCCTCCAGAAAAAGACAGGGAGAAGTGTGGCGGACTGGATAGAAGACTTCTACTTAAGGCATCCGTTCGTCTGAAGGTTTATAGCAGACAATGAAACGGAGTTTGTGAACCACGAAGTATTGGGGATGCTTAAGAGACTCTGCGTACCGATCAAACTTATCGAGTTGTATCACCCTGAGGTCGATGCACCTGTGGAAAGGGGGCACCGAACCTTGAAGAACACGATTGTAAAGCTCGCAGCGGACCATCTGGGGAACTGGCCTAGGTATCTTAAGCAGGCTGTCTTTGCAGAGAATATGACCCCAAAAAGGACAACAGGATGTATCCCGGCAGAGCTCTGGTACGGAAGAGAGATCGACTTTCCTGTGGAAGCCTTGGTACCTACCTGGAATAAGTTAGATGATGATCCGCAAATGACCACTGAAGAGTTAATCGAGGTAAGATGTTAACAAATCCTTAAGAACGAGGAGGTCATGGAAGACATCGCCAACCGGGTGCTGGACAACAGAATGAGGGACAAAGCAAGGTGGGACGAGGTTAAGAATGTCAGAAAGGAGCCACTTCAGGTGGGGGAGATGGTATTGCTAAGGAACTCGGAACTAGAAAGTACTTGGTCGGGACAGTTGGGAAGGAGGTTCAAAGGCCCCTACCGGGTCGCCAAGCGGGTGGGACTGAACACCTTCGAACTGGAAGATTTGGATGAAACTGGATTGAAAGGGCCCTTCCCGAGGCAACGACTGGTCAGGTTTCTAAGTCGGGACCCAATGAAACAATGGCTTCAGGAGGCCGAAGATAAGGAAACTGAGGAGCCACAAGCTAAAGACTGACCACGGCCTTGCCCACACTATGGGTTGTCTCTGACCATGTTCGTGAGACAGTCAGTTTTTTGGGGTACTGACGCTTTGGCTTGGACTGACTGAGGTTGAAAGGCAGCATGACTTGGGGGTTTGCAATATCTCGCTTGTGTGACAACGGGAAGGGATGTTTGGGGCATTGTACCATAGTTTTTTACGACAAAAATATGGGGTCATCACAAACGACGCATTCGCATGTATAAAAGGGGCATGATGTGAGGGATACTGGGTGCATTTTGGGAATGTCTACCGGCCTAAGGGGGGGGGAGGCGCGAGTGTGTGAGGGACATTGCGGGTGTTGTTTTGTTATACAGGGCTTATGAGTAAAACGAGAAAATACAAAAATGGAATTCGGCAACGAGAACGACAGCGGGGCAATCAACAGGCCTACCGGAGGGGAAGAAGTTGGACCAAGCCAAGGGAGGAGGACAGCGAAGAGAAAATTGTACATTGGACTCACGGGTGGCCCAGTGGTAGGCCGGGGTGGAAGGAAATGCTTGTGTAGGAAACCCTCACCCCTCCGCAAGGGAGAAGGTATAGAAATATCATCTGACAGTGAGGGCGAAAAGGGAAGGGCAAATGTGGAAGAAGGAGGCAACACAGAAATGGGAGATAAGGCTCGGGTCTCTAACGAGGAAGGGGTCAACAGGGGCGAACGACGTGAGACTTGGCATGGGGAAAGCGAGGGGGGACAAGGTATGCGCGACGAACGTGAGGAGGACGAGGAGAAAAGGGAGAACCCGCTTGAAGGACGAAGCGGTCACGGCAGTTGCGAGGGGTATGGGACGGGGACAGAGATCCATTCTACCTACGATCCAAAGAACCTTGCTGGTGGGTATAGCCCCATACAGACTGAAGACGAGGGGGACGAGGAGGAGGATGAGCAATAAGTCATAGAAATCAGCAGCGGGGATGAGAGGGATGAGATATCAAGGCCTAGGAAAGAGGGGCGGTCTTCGATGCACCAACCGGACGATGGGGCTCTCAAATGGGAGGACGAGTTCGGGCCAACGCCAGTCATTGGTTTCAGCAATAGACCAATGTAATCAGGCACGAATGGATTATCAAAACTCGGGAACTCGCAAGGGCAGGGGTAGAAGCCACACCACTGTATTTTTTTAACGAGGCAGAGTTGCATAAAATTGTAAGGATGAAAAGAGAGATCGAGACCTACGGCCTGGGAGTAAGGAAGCCTGCCGAGGAACGAGGTGGACAAGGAACTGGGCAAGATGAGGCGCAAGGCAGCAATAGGAACTAGGTGTTGACTTAGCATTGAAAAGGATCGCTGTTTTTCCGTCTGCAGAAACATGAGAATGACGAGAACGTGTATAGTATGGGCAAGCTTGCAAAGGATGAATGATGGAAGGGTCAACTAAGGCTGTGTCATGATAAGATTAAAAGATAGCATATTGAGGCTACTTTTGGATGAGTTACCTTCGAAAGTAGGTACACAAGACAAAGATATGAGATTTGGGATGAGACGAATTGGGAGAGGGTGTACTGAGAATTCTGGATGGAACAAGGATTATGCTTTTGAGAGGGGAAAACCTTGAGTATGGGAACCATGACATTGAATGATTGGTCGAGTACAAGAGAGGTTAGGGAACCTATGGGTTAAGGGGCGTGGAGAACTCTCCTTCCCTAGGAGCCTAATCCAACTGAGTCATGAATTAGTCTGAAAATGGTCAAGATCTGAGTTGTCGGAACGAGTGAACAAAAAAAAAAAGAAAAAAAAAAGGGGCGCCTTTGTCTTTTGTTAAAATGAGAGAAAAAGGGAGGAGAATGAGACAAAAAGGGAGAAAAGAGTGAAGGAAAATGTGTCGGCCTATTGGGACCTGCACAGTAGGGACTGGCAGGTCCCAACAGTGACCTCATCCCTCCTAGAATGAGGGAGGGCAATCCAGATTGCAGAGATATGACCCTTAGGGCCATATCTCAATAAAATCTGAATTAAAAAGCTGAAAATGAGAGGAAATACAAAAAGGAAGTGGCCGGTTTTCTTTTGGGCCATGGATCTGAGATCAGATCTCATGGTAGAGAGGAACTAGCTGTTTTTTGTGGGCCAGCTCAGAACGGCTAGCTCCGGATTGAGGTGGCAGCCCAAAATGGAAAGAAACAAAAGAGGGAAAAAGACAAAACAGTGCATTTGGCCCAAAAAGAGAGTCAGATGCACCAAAAATTGAAAAACTGGACTTAGGGACTCAAAATTGAAGCAAGGGCTACTAGGGGGTAGCTCGGATTATTGCTTGCCTTGGATCTCAGCCAGATCCAAGGCTGAAAATATGCCTCCATATGGAAAAATGCTCCGGCCTACTCAAAAGAGGCCGAAACTTGAAAAAATCGAAAAAAAGGTCCACAAAGCCTTTTTCTTTCAAGTATTGCTGCCCCTTGGGCATTAGGACCCTAGGGAAAAAAGAGGCCGGGTTAGGCCAAGAGGTAGTCCGAGTTGGTACCAACCACTTGGACTGCATGCACTTGGCCAAAAAGAGGCCCAGGTACCTCCAGAAGGGCTTAGAGAGGAAATTTTGCCTTGGGGGTACCTCGGTTCACCTCAACGCTCATGGGGAGGCTCATGGGCTAGCCGGACTGGTGGTTTCAGCCTACATAAGCTGAGGATGCAGTCCGCCACTCTCACATTTGCATGAGGAGTGCCCATGCTGCCCAAGTGAGCCCACATGAGCACCTTTGCACTTGGAGTGAGAGGGGAGGAACCCATGCTAATCGGAGAGCTTAGAGAAGACTAGGAGGTAGTGGGGAGGACTCTAGAGGGTAGTGATGGTGGGAGAGACACTTGGGAGGTGATCCGCTATATCCCTCCTGGGTGTAGGAGAGAAGGAGAAACTAGAAAAGCCCCATTAGCCCTCCTAGAGGGGAGGACTCGATAGTCATAGCTGGAGGGAGTTTGCCGTAGCCTGAGATAAAGCGAGGGAGGAGGAGAGAAGGGCTTGGAGAAGAAGGAAGTCATAGCTAAGAGGGGATTAAGCAAGAAGAAGAAGCTTCATCAAGAGGACACCAACATCAAGGAATCAACAAGGTGAGAGGAAGGGAGAGACTTCTTCACCTTCTTCTTCTTCTTCTTCTTCTTCTTCTTCCTCATCTTCTCCCTCCTCTTCTCTTTCTTCCTCTCCTCCTTCTTCTTCCCCTTCTTCCTCCTCACTCTCTCCTTCTTCCTTCTCTTGTCTCTTCTCCTCATCTCCTTCTTCCTCCTCTTCACTTTCACTCTATTTGTCTTCCTCCCCTTCTTCTCCATCTCCATCTCCCTCATCTCTCTCCCCTTCTCCTCCACCCTCTCTTACTTCATCTTCTCTCCTTCATGGGTTACTCAAACTAACCTCTTTCACTTATACACTCGGGGGAAGTACTCCGATTCATTCATAGATGCTCCTTGATGCAATCGTGGTGATTTGGGCTCTCTAAACTTGTGATTTTCACACTCACACTAGTAGGTAGTGCAGCGCTTCACACATGGATGCTACTTGATGCAATCTTGGTGATTTGGAAGCTTCAAACTTGTGATTTTTACACTCACACTAGTAGGTAGCATAACGCTTCACACATGGATGCTACTTGATGCAATCTTGGTGATTTGGGAGCTTCAAACTTGCGATTTTCACACTCACACTAGTAGGTAATGTAGCGCT